GATCGGCTCGCTCCCGGCGCACCTCTCGCCTCACATGTTTGGAGGTACGGCCCCTCCCCGCGCGGCACTGGCCGGCCCGGGCTCCTCGCCCTCGGCCTTTTCTCCTTGAGCCCGGCGCGCCGGGAGTCGCGCTCAGCCCTGCGGCGCCCGAGTGTCCTCCCCGGGCCGGGAAAGGACACTTTCCTCGGCGGGGAAAGTCCTTTCTCCCCGGGAGCGCAGGGAGCAGGCGTTGTTGTAAAACAAACCGACGGAACAGCCCTCGTGGTTGTGGTTTTCGGTACCAGGAAGTCGGCAGGAGAGACCCGTTGCTAAATGTTCTATCTGGGGACTGACTGGCGAGCAGTTTTAAAGGGCAAAAGTCAGATGGGCCTGTTAAGTATTTGAAAAAGGGGGAAGTTCTCTCCTTTGAACCGACTTTTAATATAAAGCGTCAGTCCTCAATTCTGTAAATAGTCTTGCCTACCTCCTACAGGGTCGTTCACTGGATGCGTGTGTTAGCGAATGGTGTGTTCTTTAACACCAGTGAAGGGTTACTTTACGTAGTGGTTAATGACCGTCCTGCGTAGCAGGAACGTTCAAACAGAAAACTATGTCTTCAGTGGATACTAAGGAAATTATTGTAGCTCTGCTCACAAGGTGCAATAATTGGCTGCGTTGTTTTGAAGAGCAGTGTTGGCTAAAGTCACTGGTGAAAGACTTTTAATGCAAAATAATGTGTTTTTAAAACACAGAAACAGGAGAGAGGGTGACTTGTTTTGAGGAAAATGAACTTACAGTGTTTTATGTTGAATGTAGATCACTTTTTCTCTTCATATGGAAAGTAAACAATCTCGTATCATTGCATTGATGTCTGATATTAAATTCACAACGGAATACGGAAGAGCAGTGAAAACACCATCCCCTTTATTTATTTATTTTTGTCTTTTTGATTTTGAGACAGGGTCTCACTATACAGTTCAGGCTGGCGTTGAGCTCACTTTGTAGCCCAGGCTGATCTCGAACTCGGAACGATTTTCCTGCCTCAGCCTCCCAAGAGCTGGGATTACAGGTCTGTGCCACCGCGCCCAGCCTCCACTTCATTTTTATGGCCCTTTACTCATGTTCGTACGAATGTAAAAACTCTGAGTAGGGAGTTGGTAAGTCGGTGTGTAATTTATCTGTTCTGATGTTCCATGACCATTCACACTAGTGTAAGTTAAAAATAAGAATGTGGAGGCTGGGGATTTAGCTTAGCGGTACAGCGCCTGCCTGGCAAGCGCAAGGTCGTGAGTTCGATTCCTGGTACCTTAAAAAAAAAAAACAAGGAGATCAAAATAAAAATGTGATATTTAGTTTTCTCCATCTTTTTATTACCACTATGAACATTCAGTATGGGACAGCATTTGACTTTCTCTTCTTTAATTACTTGTTTATAGTCATTTTTGCTATGTAAGTAAAACTGCTAACGTTTCCTAGAATTGAACCATCTAAAAGATTTTGTTTTTAAGAAAGTGAACCACCAGCACTCCGCCTGTGGTTTGATCACAGCCAACATAGTCGAAGGTGCTGTAAAGCAGTTTCTAGAAAACTGGAGATTAGTTACAGAATAAACTTTTAAAAAATATTTCTTTTTCATGTGAAAATTTGCATTTAGTTATGATTTTCAAAAGATACGACTATATAAAAGCTTGCTAAAGAGAGAAACTAAGAAAAACTTTGTGAAAGTAATAGTTAATATTTAATACATGGATTAGTACTTTGGTTCATTTTTTAAAGAGCTGATAATTTTCCTTGACAAAGGTATATTTGTATGAGTTTATTTTATTGAAGCAAATACATTCCATTTGGATTGGAGGCAAACATTTGACAACTAGGCTATTCATAGTAAATTAGGAAGTGGAAAAGACCTCCTTGCTGAAAGTTGGAAGTAAAGCAGTTTTTAAAAAAATCTAAGTACTTAGATTTGTGCACTTAACTTATAGATCTCAGTGCTTTTGGATTAGGATGACTGGAAGCAGGAGAGTGACACTGAGGAACTTGTGGCATCCTTTGGTATGGTCTCTGCAGAGAATGGAGCACTCACATCCTCAGGCTTCCATTGTGTGCAGTGAACTTAACTTTTTCTCTCCAGTGTGTATAGAACAATTCTAGTTATGTGTTACTGGGACATCTGAGAAAACAGTCATTTAGTTTTCCTGTTTAACATGAGAAACCTCAGTTGAGGAAGGTTTCTGGAAGCAGATCAGAAAAGTTACCTGTACTTGAGGGGATCAGATCAGAGTGCATGACTTTAAATCCTGTTGAGCCATCAGGATGGAATGGACTTATGTAAAAACTCATCTTTTAGCAGCATTGCTTAGTGAGGTTTTTACCTATATTTCTGTGGATGGGTTTATGAAGAAAACAGTAGAAGCATATTTCTCATCATTCTGAGATTTAGGGAGGTGGATGATAAACCTTATTATTTTAAAAATTAAACGATTACATTTTACATTGACTTCAGTTTTATTGTATAACATTAATGTATTAAGTTACAAACTAAAAAGTTTGGGCATATATAAGGAATTTTATTTGAAAATTGAGAAAAGGAATATTTCTAAATTAATGGAAAGTTCATACTAAAATTTTATAAAATAATGGTTTTGTTATTGTTCCTTAAGAAAAGGTGGTAAAGGTTCAGAATTACTTTTCTCTTGTAGGCAGCCATGAAAATGAAAACCTAGTACCACCTTCTTTGGTTTATTTTTTAATCTTAGGAGTCTAGCAAGTTGATTTATTGGTAATTCTATCATAATTGCTGAATTGAACAAGTTTTTTTATTGTGGTTTTGTCTTGCTTCATTTTGTACATATATTTTAGCTGTGTACATTCTTTTTTATGTCTCCTAGAGAACTGGAAGAGAGGTCCTTAATCCTGGTATTCCATTTTGCAGAAAATTTCATAGAATTGACTCTCTGGATATATCAAATTCTAAGATTAGAATTTATATAGGAGTTTTTAGGTGAAATAGGTCTTTGTTGTTTTTGTTAATCTTTCCAGACTGGTGAGTTCAAGACTCTTAAGATGAACAGGTGCTCTTCTTGATTACTGCTAATATTGTCCATTACCTTTGTTTTAAAATTGATCTTTAAGCCAGGCATGTTGGTGCACTCTTATAATCCTGGCACCTGGGAGACTGAGGCAGGAGGATCACCATGAGTTCGAGGCCACCATGGGCTATTTAGTGAGATCCTGTCTTAAAAAAAACCAAAACAAGAAAATAAAATAGGTCTTTAGTGGCGTAGACTAATATTTGAAATCCCTGGTGTAGTATCTTAGGATTTGCTTGACTTTATGTGTACATTTTTTCCATTTAGTTGCTAATGTTCATAAAAGCGATGAATATGAGATAGGTAAAATAGCCCTCATTAATGCAACAGGATGGGGAGGTGAATTAGACAATGAAAATATACCAATGAATAAAGGTTATTTCTAGAGAAATTATGTGGATTTCTGGAATGTATCCATGATTGGAAGTTAAAATGTAAAGTGAATTAATACAACCAACCAATAGTACCATGCTACTTTGGGCTGCCTGCTTGTCCTGAGCTTGTTTGGGTGTGGTTTGCCCATGAGTATGTCAGTAGTCTGGTTTTAATTCCAGTGTCTTTGGTTAGTTATGAAACCTCTTTCCTTACATTGAAACAGTGTGGGTTATTTCTTAGAACTATGTTAAATAAGATCTGTATTTACAGGAAGATGTATTTCTCTTAATTTTCAACACAATGTGAGGTTTTATGGTGTAGACCATTAATTAACTATTATCAAATTGTTCTCAATCATTGCTTCTTACCAAAATTAAGTGCCAAAATATTTGAGTTTGGGATATTGTAATTAATATGTTTTCGATCCCTCAGTGTTCTTTTATTTGATTGTAGACTTTTGTGGGGAACGGCAGAAGAGTAATGGCTGACTACTACTTCCTGGGAAAAACGATACTTTTAATTACCGTCCCTGCCACCTCTGAGAAGGAACTTTGGTGGTTAATGTTTCTTGCTTGTAATCTCATCTATCTTTAAACATGACAGTGGGTAACTTACTTTGCATGCTAAATAAAATGTGGCCTCTATCATGGAAGTTTCTGCTTTGGAATTTGTTTTGAAAGTACTGTACCTTGACTGAAAGGGCAGGGTGGGCTGGACAGAGGAGTGGTGTGAATTCCACAGGGCCCCATCTGATCTAAAAGCAGCTTGATGTAAGTATTGTACCTGTACGCTTTGCTGGCTGCTGTAGTTCCTGCGGGAGAAAGAGCTCCCTTGTTTTACTGACATGGTGTCTCCACTGCCAGCAAATCCCTCACATTCTTCCAATTGATTGCTTTGCCTAGTGACCATTAAGTAGATTATTTCTGGCTACCAATATCTTTAATTAAATATCCATTTTTTTTCATATTTCTTACACATCTTTGCTTATAAAGAAAACTGCAGTAATATACTTACTGCATACACTGAATGTATTTAAATTTGGGTATATGAGCAGGTGGGTTAAAATAAGGGCCTGCTTTATGTAGCAGAATACTTTCTAAGATTTAGTCTTCATATTATGTAAATACTCCTGAGCACAGTGTAATTGGAATGTTAGTCTAAATAGTTTTGCCTGTACTCATCTGATTTGACATTTATGTGTTTAGAAATTAGAAAAGATACAGCCCTTTGTGTGAATAAAGGGTTGAGAAATATCTTAGGTTCTAATTGTTTTCTATATGCTTATTGTCAAATTACTATTAACTTAGCTGGCAAAAGACACTTCTTAGTTTCTGTGAGTGACAGTTTAGCCTGGGTCCTCCACACGACTTCAATCAAGGTATTGGCCACAACTACATTTGTACTTACAGGCTCTGCTGGCAAAGGATTGGCTTCCAGACTCCCTCAGATTGTGTGGCAGAATTCATTTCCTTGTGACTCTTATTTGGCTGCCTATTTCAAAGCCAGCAAAGAAGAGAGAGAACAGCCAAATGGGCTCCTGCTATATCTATATAATCGTTAGGCCCTGCCCAGCCTATTGCCTTTATTGCATTTCTTGTGTT